ACTTCTTCAGTGTTCGGTGAGATATCGAAAGCATTGAAATTTAGTAGAATGTGCTGAAGCGAAAGGGAAGTGTTAAGTTAACTTCAAATTTCTAGTTCTTTTGAAGATCTTGAAGTATGCTAAGAGAGCACAAATGATGTATTAGCTTCTTTTTGAATTCGGGTTTAGTTATTGTTTGAAGTGATATTGAAGTCTAAAATTGCATATTCTTACTGTTCTTCTGTAGCAAACTGAGGGTGCCACTGCATTAAAGGTTCAAGTTGTTGAGGGCATTGCATCTGTTGAGGTTTGTATGATCATTAGTTGTTAGCAACCGACCCGTATTCTACCAACTCGCCTAAACAGTTTTTTTTCTTCTCCTCTTGTTCTAGCTCACAAAGCAAATAACAATACAATCGACCGGAGTGGCCTCGAGCTTGATCGAGACCATACAAAGCGCAGGTTTCAAGTTACAAACGCTAAATCTGAGTTTCGAGGACAACGAAGAAGTTTTTGTTTAGGTACTCATGATTGCGATCGTTAGAATTGGAGAGGGAAAGAGAGAACAAAGTGTAGAGAGATGGGGATAGGAGGCTATTTAAGAGCTCCATTGATCATGTCATGGAAGGTTGGACTGTGGAGATTACATTCTTTGAAGTAAAATTTAAATGAGCCATTTGCTTTGAAACCAATAATGAGGTAAAGCCTCACATAGTGAAGAATCTTATATGGGACAAATAAAAAGTTAATTAATTAATTAATTTTTTTTTTTTTGAAAAGCTGAATAAAAGTATAAGGTTTATCTTTCATAATAGTAAGACAAGAAAATGATGAATAAAAAGAGATTTCATGAATCTCATTTATCGTTCGTAAGTCTTTTTGTGAGATCTCACATCGGTTGGAAAATGGACCGAACATTTCTTACAAGAGTGTGGAAACCTCTCTTTAACAGACACGTTTTAAAACCTTGAGGAGAAACCTTGGAAGCAAAAGTCCAAAGACAATAGCCCCACGTCGTTTTAAAATCTCTTCTAATTTTTTTCCTCTCTCGATTAACTCTTTTTCTTCCTCACCCTCGTTTTTGCTCCACAAGACAATAGTCCCACATTGTTACCGATGAGATCAACAACTTCAATGGCCAACAAGGTTGGATCGATTTCAATTTTGGTTTCTTTAGGTGAATTACAGTGGAAAGAAAAATCGATCTCTTGAATTCATGATTTTATACCTTGATTTGAGTTATATAAGTCTTAGTCTCTCTTGTATTTTAGAATTACACGTCTCGAGTTGAGAGACCTGATTTTAAAGTAAGTACAAAGTTGGGTAAATCTTCTTTGCCCTTCGAATATGATAAAACATATTAATTTGGGTTCGGTCCAAAGATTTTGTCACTAATCTTAAGATTTTGTTTAAGGATTAGATTAATGTGATTGCAAGATACTTTCCTGTCATAATGCCTTAGAGTTAGATTAGGTATTTCCTATTTGAATGATTACGTAGTTTCGTGAAAATATTAAATCATGAATGTTTGGTGATGAACATTATTGCAATTATGCCGACAAAATGTGCATACAGATAGAAAATAACGTCGATGATAGCATCACTTCATAAAGTCATCATCGACTCTAAAAAATCTCAACAATTATTAATAACGAAATTCTAAAAACATATTATTAGAAAAAAAAAAAAAGAAATTAAAAAGTGATGCTCATTTATTTTATTTAATTAAAGGTAGAGCTTGAATTATTGATTTTTTAGATAAGCTTCCTTATTTAAAATTAATATTTTTAGTTATTTGATAGACTAATTATGATTTTAATTTTGGAGATAAGCTTTAGCTCGATTGAGATCGAGATGTCTCCAATTATTGCATGGGAGAAATTCTTAAAAAAACCTTAATATAATATTTGAAATAAAAAAGAAATTTACCAATTTACGGTGATTATCACCGTCAGTCTCACGATTTTAAAACACATCCACTAGTAGAGGTTTCCACACCCTTATAAGAAATGTTATGAGATCTCACAATTCACCCACCTCTAAGCCCATAGCTCTGATACCATTTGTAATAGCCTGAGTACATCGCTAATAGATATTGTTCACTTTGGCCCATTACATATGTTACCAGTCTCACAATTTTCAAAATGTGTCTACTAAGGAGAAATTTTCACACCCTTATAAAAAAATGTTTCGTTCTCCTCTTCAACTGATGTGAGATCTCACAATTTGGTAATTCCACTTCACGGGAATAAAAAACTTTAATTAGTCAACCCTGAACATAACTCAATGAATAAACCATTAATTCCTATCTAAACGTCGACAATTCGGTCTCTCGAGCTAACCCTAAAACGGTTCAAAAATCCTTAAATTAGGGTTAATATTAAACTAAAAATTGGTGGGTCAATCCCTATTGGGCTGAAACCAGCTCAGTTTTGGGATTGTATGAGCTGTTGGCCATTTATGTTGGCCATTGAAGCTTTTGTATGGCCCTCTCCCTTTGCATCTAAACCTTCTTTAAAGGGTTCCTTTTGATACCCCTTTGGCCAATGCCTAGTGTTGTGCCCTACTTCCTAGCATAAGATCGCTCGAGTAATTCAACGTAGAATGTTCGATCATATATTTTTTAATTAGTTGACTAACGTTTAGATTGGAGCTAGTTACGTGTTAATTACTCTCATTTTAATTTAAGTTTTGGTCATTTGATGCGATTTTTAGACCATACAAAATCTCGAGGTATTTTTACAATTTCCAAGAGTGTTAAAAAAACCTAATGACCCAAAAAAAAAAAAAAAACTCAGATCAACCCAACTGAGTCTATTGGTCATGAACTTATTTGAGTTTGATTGGGTTACGGTTTTTGCTGATTCTGTATAATACTGCAGTGTGAATTACCCACATACCTTCAGAGGTAGGAAATGCCTATTACCCTCATACCTTATCAGGAGTAAGAAAGGCCTATTACCCACATACCTTCTGAGGATTAACTCCATCTTTCACAATGTGTTGAACAGGAAAATTCAATTGCCTTAGTTCAGTTGAGTTAACATTTTACTTTTATTTAGAACAAAAAAATTGAATAAACGATCCAAACAATCCAAACCAACCCGACTCAAAAAATTTACGATTGGGTCAACATTAGTTTTATAAAAGTTATATGGGTTGAAAAATTTACAACTCGGGCAATTGGATTGGTTCTAAAACATGTTTAAACTCGACCCGACCCAACCCACGAACACTTCTAATAATTTCTCTCATGCATCCAACAATGTGAAGCTATTTGTAGCGACCTCCTCGAATAATTTCTCCCCGAACGGAGCGAGACACGAAAAACATACCAAATGAGACAAGGGGTACCCTACCATATTCTTTTGTTTCCTCTCCCATGTAGAACAAAATGCAATGTTGCTTTTCTCCCCATACAACAAACCCCACCCATCTCTCCCACACGAGCCCTCCCTTCCCATTGTCTCATCTTCACTCATTTTCTATAATATATTAATCATAAATTATTTAATAAGACCGCTACAACGAGACTGGTTTCTAAAAATTGTCGGATTTAGATCTTACGACTTATCTATTCTTAATAACGGCAGGATACAAAAACGATCTCTATTTTAAACTTACTCTCTTATATATCTAACGAGACAAAACTATCCGTCTCTTTATGACTCTCTTCTCGTTTTAGAACAGTTTTGAACACGTTACATACTTGTCTTGAAGTTCTTTTAAGAGTAAAGATCATTCCCACAAACGAGCACGAGTTCTTTTTGCATATTTTATCATCACCCACGTACTTTTTAGAAAAAAATTTAAGAGATCACCCAAATTGCTCAAAACTAGGCCAACTTAATTTCTGAGTTTTTATAACTGCCCGAGTAACTTTCAATTTTTTTAAGTCTTTCGTAACTGTCATATTCTTAAAACCGCTCTAATTCAGATGTGATCTCATTTCGTTTATGTTTTTTTTTTTACTTCAGAGAGAATTAGAGATCAAACAAATTCTCCCGTTCCGCCATGTTAGAGGACTCAATCTCCTAACCGAGGTTTTCATCTGAATTGTTTGAAACTTCAACTAGCTCGTTCGACCAATTTAACATTAATTAATTAATTATTATTTATTTATATATATTTGTTTAAGAAAAAGTTGGAAAACAGTATGATGGGAATTAGTTATATTTTAGTAATTGACATCTCAAAAGTATGGTAATGATTATTCCCAAAGAGGGGTTTAAAGGAATATATATTATATTAAAATTAAAAACGGTGATAAATAAATAAAACTAATAATGAAAAAAAATGTGAATGTTTGATTAATCCACCGCACCTAAATGGTGTGAAAGTTATCATATTTATAATCAAATAAATTACAAGGATATGGAAATAGTAATAAATGGAAATAACATAAATAGAAAGATACGATAATAAGGCAAATATTAGATATTTGCCTTATAATAAAATATCAAATATAATATATATGGTAAACAATAATTTATTATTAAATATCCTTAACAAAAAATTAGTTAGGAAAATATTATATATAGATACAAAGAAACTCGAACCATTCAAACTACGGATTGGATTGTCAGGTTGTTTTTTTTTTAATTATTTAAAAAAAATTATATTTATTCACCGTACATCTTATATTAATTTCTAAAATTTTATAAAACTCATTCAATGAATCACTAACCCCATTACAAAAACGCTAAATATTTTTAATTTTTTTAAAAGGGTTGAGGTTGGGTAAGATTGCAACTCTGTTTTTAGATTGGAACAAAAATCTAATTCAACAGAATGTTTATGATTTGGGTTCAGTAGTTAAAGTTGATTAGATTATTGATCAAATATTTAAATACGTATCCAATAAATTTTTAATTATATTGAACGGTTGAGATGCGTTTGTTTTAGTTATAAATTTATATATAAATAAATAAAAAGAGAATTATATTTGGATATGAAGCATGCCTACGAAAATATATTTATACATATTTTGGAGATTGGTTCATCAATTAAAATTTAAAAAAAAAAAAAAAAAAACCTTCAAATGGTTAAAAATAATAAAATAAACCAGCTAAAAATTATTCCACATGGCTTGCAATCCGTTGGATTTAGAATTTTGTGCATCCAACGGTGAAAAACTGTCGGTAGATATAATCATTTCTCCAAGAGAGAAGGAAAAAAAAAAAGTGGAATTTGTGCATTTTAGTGGTGGTTGGTTCATTTGAGAGCGGCGGTGAGTGAGCGGAAAACCACCTCTTCACAAGGGATAGTAAGGCCCATGTGGTGGTGGAAACCGAATTCCTCCTCGGCAAGGCGGAGGAGGCACTGAAAATCGGGGTGAGTCAAGAGCGAGATCGGGACGACATATCGGCTCCGATTCTCGCCGACGTAGACGGCGAAATGTCCCTTGGGAACATCGTCAAATCCAGCCGTCGCAGTCGCCGCCACCGCGGCCTCTTGCTTCCGCCCTAGACTGGAGCAGCGCTTCACAATCTGCTTGAGTGCCGCCGTGTGTATAGCCGGTTTTCGGATCGCCATTTGGAAAATTTCAGTTCCGATTTGGAAAGAAATTGGGTATTTATGGAGAGAGCACGGATGTTGTACTGAGAGAGAAGAGCGGGGAGGGGGAAGGTGGGAGCCATCGCCATGGGGTGCAGTCGCCATTGTTGGGCCTCCAAATGACCAATCGGGGCCCTCTGCCTTCGGTGGCTCTCTGTTTTTTTTTTTTTTTTTTTTTTTTTTTTTTTTTTTTTTTTTTTTTTTTTTTTTTTTTTTTTTTTTTTTTTTTTTTTTTNTTTTTTTTTTTTTTTTTTTTTTTTTTTTTTTTTTTTTTTTTTTTTTTTTTTTTTTTTTTTTTTTCATCTGTTTTGTTCTTTGCTTGTTCTTGAAGAAACTGTTTGTTTGATTTGATGTGTTTATGCAATTTGGAATTTGTGGGTTCCTTGATTTCAATCAAATGGATATTTATCCAAAAGTGTTTTTTTTTAATTTTTTTAATTTTTATTTTGTTGGTATAAATAATAACTTTCTGTCTAGTTATCAAATTATAAATTCACTTGTGTTTTTTTAGTTTGTTGGGCTACTCCTGTGTATAGAAATTCGATTTTACCGGTCTCGAATAAAGTGGAGAATCTCCGTTTTAACGATAAAACAGGAAATGAGTGAGGGAATGAGAAAGGTTTTTTTCTCCATCCCGTCCCATCGAGTTTCCGTCCCGTCCCATCGAGTTTCCGACACGGTACTCAGCCAACTTAATATAAATATATTTTTCAATAGAAATATTTCTATTTTTAGTCCTATTAAAAAAATTAAATTAGTTATTTCTTAAACTAATGTTTAAAATAAAAATTATATTAAAAAATAAAAATTTTAAAATAACTATTTTTTAAAAGAATAATGAACAGTAAATTTACCGTGGGTAAATTGATCTCTGCAAATTTCGTACGTGAAATTTCTGCCCCGATTCCTATAAAGATAAATTAAGAATTTTGGAGGCACGGGAAATGAAATAAGTGGCAAAGCTAGGAACGGAGAAGACTTCTTCATCCCTGTCATGCCCTTGTGGACATCTATACTAGTGCACTTGGTAATCATTTTTTGTCTCGTGATGCTCGTTAAGAACATGTGGATATGAATATATGATGCATTGAAATGAAATGGATACATAGAATTAATCTAGTCCTAGGTCCACGTAAGTTCTTTGGCCGCAATGTTGAGTAGGGTGTTACTAGGTTGACCTATACATTACAATACTTAAACTCTTTTGCACGGGTAATTATAGAGTTCCTCGTTATCTCACAAAAAATTTGTATGTAAAGTGACAATGGAAACAACGCTAGAGACTACAAATGCCTCATCTTGATTGAGATCGAGTTGGATGGATTTTTCTCTCTTTTGACTCCCGAGTTTCATTTCCTCAGCTTAGTAAGCTTAACGAGCCCTTCCATAGGCATTGACAAATGTACGGTTCACATACGTCTTCACTAGAGTATAGTATTAGTGTCCAATATGCAACGGAATCTCAAGGTCGTTCCAAAAATGAACAACAATAGTATTTTGTATTAATGTTTTTGTAGTAAATCTGACAAAAAGACGAAATAAATTAATGAAATAAATGTCAATTCAACCCGTAATGTGTTCTAAATTTCCGCTCTCGTTCAAATTGAAAAAAAAAATAGTTATATAGGTTGGTTACGATCGTTTACGGGTTCAGTTGGATTGGGTTGAGATTTTTTTTTTTTGGACTAACTCAAAAAATTGGATCGGTTAGGTTGGTGACCCTAATAATTAAAACAGAATCTGTAACCCAACCCTTGAGCTCGGTTACGTCGTCCAGTTATTCATTTTTTTAATTATTTCACATAAATGAGAAAGGACACTATCCACATAAATGCCCACCTCCCTCTCTAGGAGTTCCTCGTAGGAAACTAAATTAGATTTAGCTGGCATTAGTGGCTCCTTCCCACTCCATTAGTGGCTCGGCTTCGTCCTAGAAGCTACAGCTTCCGCCTCTAACGGCTTCACTATCGCTCATGACTGGTATATGGATCTCTTTATTTATGTAGTGGTCGACTTGATAGAAGTTTGGCCAGGTTGCTTCCCAAATGCCTCTTGACTTATGGTCTAGTTTGATTTCAATGCCTCCTTCCTGGCCGCCAACGGAGAGTAAGCAAGCGACTTTGCTTGCATTCGTCAAAGGGTAGCTCCTGTGCCCTTCTTGCCTGCTTCAATTGATGTGAATGAGAGTGTCTTCAAATCCTATTTAGTATTTTTCTCTCTATCAATGAAACAAGAAGTTGTCTCTGTTTTCTTTTCGGATTTCGAGGATGAGCCGACCGATCCTAACATCATTTATGAGGAGCCGGACGACGAATCCTCCTCCTCAGATAAAGATGTCTTCGATGCGACTCTCCTGAAAAGAACCACTTAAGATGTCTCTGATGCGACTCTCCCCAAAAGGTCTCGTACGAATGGAGATGTATTCTTTCCTTATAAACTCATACGATCATCTACTAAATTAGCACACGTGGAACTCCCTCCCAACAATCCTCAACATATGGGGCTGGGGACGGATAATACTCATTGCTCCACCTAACCCCGCTAGCAGATATTGTCCGCTTCGGCCCATTATGTATCGCTGTCAATCTCATGGTTTTTAAAACGCGTCTGCTAGGGAGAGATTTTTACACTTTTATAAAGAATGTTTCATTCCCCTCTCCAACCGATGTGGTATCTCACAATCCACCCCCCTTCGAAGTCCAGCGTGACACTCGTTGCCCTCTCCAATTGAGGTGTGATCGCACATAGCCAATCTACTCGAGGAGATTGATTGATTCAACAAAGATGTGTTTCCCTTCCCATGTTCTATCATGTTACCAAGGGAGGCATAAGAACTATTAGCACCCCAAAAAGAAAGTGATAGCCCTAAATTGACTTCAAAATTGAAGTGCTTTTTAGGGCTTCAATAAATTGGATCCACACACATTCATATGTTAACCAAGATTTGTGGCGTAACTAATGCAAGGATTGAGCATGACTACACATTTTGAGGGCCCCAACACCTCTTGGTATAGCTTGAAGTACCATTACCATCATTTTGCCCTTTGTCGATAGGGATGCCAAAAGTTCTTGAAATCTGGTTCGGATATTAAATTTTCATCTACATTTACAATAATAATAATAACAAAGACTTCTAGATTTACAATGTTTCAATGATGTAATAGGTTACTTCTACATCGGTTGGAGAGGGGAACAAAACATTCCTTAGAAGAGTGTGAAATCTCAACACAGCAGACACGTTTTAAAATTGTGAATCTGATCTGGACCTTACTTTCCTTTCCTTGGGTTGATATTTTATATTGTTATGGTTATTCAAAACCCCAAACAACTCCTCTATCTTATTTTTAAGCCCATCTCCCCCAAAGGCCCAAACCTCAAAAGCTCATTCTTCCCCAGCATAGAGTACATGTGCCCCAACGGTTCTACCTTACCTATTCCACGTTCATTTGTAGTACTTTTCCAAATAAATATAAGGTTATTCAAGGATTGAATCTTTTGTGATTCGGTATAGACATTATGAGATCCTCACGTTGGTTTGGAGAGGAGAACGAAACATTTTTTATAAGAGTGTGAAAACCTCTTCCTAGGTAGATGCATTTTAAAACTGTGAGGCTGACGGCGTTAAATAATGGGCCATAGCGGACAATATCTACTAGTAGTAGGTTTGGGCTGTTACACATAGTATCAGAGTCAGACACTGGGTGGTATGCTAGCGAGGACGCTAGGCTTCCAAGGAGGGTGGATTTTGAGATCCCACATCGGTTGGAGAGGAGAATGAAACCTTCCTTATAAGGGTGTGGAAACCTTTCCCTAGTAGATGCGTTTTAAAATCGTGAGGCTGACGACGATACGTAATGGGTCAAAGTAGACACCTCTCCCTAGTAGATGCATTTTAAAATCGTGAGACTGACGACGGTACGTAATGGGTCAAAGCAGACAATATCTACTAGCAGTGCTTGACATTTCTTATAAGGGTGTGGAAACCTCTCTGTAGTAGACACGTTTTAAAACTGTGAGGCTGACGGCGATACATAACAGATCAAAACAAACAAAAGCTGATAATATGTACTAGCAGCGGGCTTGAGCTGTTACCGACCATAAATTTGTGAAGAAATGAAGTATGTTTCAATTTTCAATTTTCTCTGTAAGTTCAAGCTGATTAAAGGAGACTGAGTTGATTCCAGACTGGACTTCCTAAAAGGGATCCACTTTCAAATGAAGTTAGGAAAAGTCATGGCGGTGTATTTAGAGTCATTTATGGATATCACATGCTTTGTCTTTCTACCATCTCAGCTACCATTGCTTGGTGAACAACCTTGCATGGATCTCATTTAAATTTGCGATAGATTTATGAGTATCAGTGTGATACCCGAGTAAAGAAAGGGTACATGAATGAACCAAGACCGCATTCAAATGCAAGTGATCTTGAGGATAGGATGCTTGAGAAAGACTTAAAAGTACTGAAGCCACTACCTATACAAACAAGATGTATTTTCTTTTTTGGTGGCTCAGTCATAAAAACTCCAATTAAGAGTACTTCAGTTGAAGCAATCCTGTTGTGAGATCCCACATCAGTTGGAGAGGAGAATAAAGCATTCCTTATAAGAGTGGAAATCTCTCCCGCGTTTTAAAAATCTTGAGAGAAAGCCCAAAGAGGACAATATCTGTCAGTGGTGGGTTTGAACCGTTACAAATCCTATGTTGGGAGACCTCATAGGAATTTTCCTAGGAAGCATATGAGTAAGGAATAAAGAACAACTCGTGTTGGTCTGTGGGGATAATCTTCACTCTTAGAAACGAAAAACCATGTCGTAAGAGAATTTCAGAGTCATTAGAATTCGGATTCCAAATCCTGATCCTAATCCTAGGTACGAACGCACAATCTAATATCAGTCTAGCTTCCTGGTAGGACTAATCACAATAATTAGTCTCTTAATTTGATAGCCTTTGTCATAGGGACCTTCAACCAACAAATTCTTAACTAGAGAGAAGTATGAACACTAAACAACAGATTGAATTCAAAGAATCAAGTTCTCATTCAAAAATGTTAAGAGTATACATTGTATGCTATTCTAATCATTGTCCTCTACTATCTACTTTTGTAAATCAATCCCTCAACTCTGTGTGAGACTGAGGAAAGTTTCTTCACTGCAAGGAATTGTGATGCCACCCATTGGATGATCATATCCAAATTCTTCTTCTACTTGACTCAACAAATCTTGAAATGAAGGTTGGTTCAAGAAAGATAGTGGGATCACAAAACGCTGCTTTTCTACCTTACCAACATATACGGTAAAGTACCCCTTTGGAACATCGACAGCCTTCGGAGATGCTCCATTTCCTGTTGATGAAGAACGTTGAAGGCTTTGCATAGCATGAACAATTCTTGGTAAACGGAAACCCATGTTATAATATGTTCCAAACTTTTGAGAATTGGAATGTGGAAAGACTCTTGTTGCTTGTGAATCCATATAACATGACCTTTATATAGACGAAAGGCTTAAGTTTCTCATAGATAGAGATAAGGTAGGGAGATGAACTTCAATTCTAGAGAGACATTAGGCCATGGCCTGTCACATGATGTGTCTTCCAAGCCATTATGAGAACTTCAAATATTTGGTCATTCTGTATGGCTTGTGCAGTAACATCATGGCCTACTTGTGTCTACAAATAACAACTGGAGAAGTAAGTTGAACAGATCTCTATAGTTTTAATAGCATAAGGGACATATCAGAGTTTCTCAAGCCCTTGTTGTCCTTGTGGTGAAACAAAATTTTAGTTGCATTTAATAGCTATGTGGAAGGGTTCCTGCTAAGGAACTATGCTGGTTGTTAGTATTAACAGAGAACTCAGAAAAATTAGGACATTCCCATGTCAAGAACCTAGGTGACTGCAAAGCGATGAAAAATGTTTGGTTTCACTGAAATGTCAGAGGTTTATTTGTTGTTAAGACTTTGTATTATTGTATGTTGTTAAGGGTCGTATGGATGTTCTCGAAAGGAAGTGATATGAATCAAGATATCTCAATCATACAATATGTACTTCAAGGAAGATGAATTTCCTTTATTCTTAGATGGTCACTAATTTTGGGAAGATGATAATTTAAAGTTATGGTATTTTAAGACTTTTTATTTATTTTAAAGTTCATTTAAACCATGACTAATTATGGTCATAAAGTAAGTTACCACTCTTGAAATGTCTCGGGAAAGGTCAAGAATTTTCATTTTGAGGCTATATAAAACCATGTATGTTATCTTTGTAAAATAGATATGAGATCCAACATTGGTTGGAGAGGAGAACGAAGCATTGCTTATAAAGGTGTGGAAACCTCTCCCTACCAAACGTGTTTTAAACTTTGAGGGAGAGCTCGGAAGGGAAAGCCCAAAAAGGACAATATCTGCTAGCGGTGGACTTGAGCTATTACAAATGGTATCAAAGCTAGACACCGAGCGGTGTGCTAGTGAGGATGTTGGGCCACAATGGGGGTGGATTATGAGATCCCACATCAGTTGGAGAGGAGAACCAAACATTGTTTATAAGGGTGTGGAAACCTCTCCTACCAGATGTGTTTTAAAACCTTGAGGGGATGCCCGGAAGAGAAAACCCAAAGAGAACAACATCTACTAGCAATGGACTTGGGCGGGTACAAATGGTATCAGAGCCAGACATCGGGCGGTGTACCAGTGAGGACGCTGGGCCCTAAGGGGGGTAGATTATGAGATCCCACATTAGTTGAAGAGGAGAACGTAGCATTGCTTATAAAGATGTGGAAAAGAGCATTTGTGATTTCTATTAACCAAGGGTTAAGTTTCTTTGTAATTCTATGTAGTTTAGATGGTATGTTTAGAATCATTAAGTTTGACATAATTAATTTAGTTTGTGGAGTGATTCCTTGAGATATTCGATCAATAATGTAATCTGAATTTTACTCCCCAAATTATGCCGTTCTCATTCATTTTTCAACTTCTTGAGATCTTTGCAATGTTCAATTCAACACACTACTAAATGAGTTATCATTACGATTCACAACATAAAAGGTGTGAAGTTATAATCATAAACTGAAGTTTTGAAATTGTAATATTTACATCATAATCGCCCTGTTTAAAGTATATTGTGTGCCAATTCTAATTCTTCCAAGTTGAAAAGAAGTATCAGGTTAGATGAACAATGTAGAACAACTTCATTTCCAAGAATCAAATTCTCTCATTTCCTAAATCTGTATACTCTACAATTCTTTACTTTTCTAATCCTTTGTCTATGTCTATGCTACCTATTTCTAAACACTAATCCCTCTGGTTCATGAGCCATTCAAGCTACAAGTGAGATCGAGAAAATGGTCTTCACGGCAAGGAATAGTGATGCCACCATTGGATGATTATATCCAAATTCTTCTTCTGCTCCACTCAACAAATCTTGAAATGAAGGTTGGTAAAGTACTCATGGCCTACCTGTGTCTCCAAAGAATATGAAGATATGATAAGGGTATAAAATCACATAATGTGTATAAATAGACGACCAATAAATGGTCAACAAGTCCACACAAATGTGGGTAAGCTAATGTTGGTGCCACTGCAGGATGAACAGTGGAAACGGATCATCACATGGGTATGTTCTCAAAGTGGTTGATAGTGAATTGGTAGTGATTCTGACTTTATATCTGTTGGTATACAAATTTTCGACAACTATTCAAGAATGAACATCCTGAAAATGACCCCACCTTCAAATAAAGCTAAGAAAATTAGTGGCAAAATGTTAGTGTCATTTATGGATAGCACATGCTTTGTCTTTCTAACTTATCATCAAGAACATGGTTCTCAATGAAAGGTGTTCAATCTCAGCTACCATTGCTAATGGTGAACAACCTTGCATGGATCCCACTTAAATTTGCGGTAGATTTATGAGTATTAGTGTGATACCCAAGTAAAGAAAGGGTACATGAATGAACTAAGACCGCATTCAAATGCAAGTGATCTTGAGGATAGGATGCTTGAGAAAGACTTAAAAAAGTTGAAGTCACTACCCATACAAATAAGGTGCACCTTTCTTTTCGGTGACTCAGTCATAAAAACTCCAAAATTATGAGTACTTTACTTGGAGCAATCTTATGTTGGGTGAGCTCGTGGGAATTTTCCTAGGAAGCATATGAGTAAGGAACAAACATAATGAAACAACCCGTGTTGGTCTGTGGGAATAGTGTTCACTCTTAGAAACAAGAAACCATGTCACAGGAGAATTCGGGGTCATCAGAATTCGGATTCCAAATCCTAATCCTAAGTATGGAGCGGATAACTAATATTAGACTAGCTTCATGGTAAGACATTCTCAATACTTTGTTAATCACAATATTTAGTCTCTTAATTAGAAATTTTGTAGCATTTGTCATGGGGACCTCCAACCAACAAATTCTTGACTAGAAAGAAGTATGAACACTAAACAACAGATTGAATTCAAAGAATCAAGTTCTCATTCAAAAATGTTAAGAGTATACATTGTATGCTATTCTAATCATTGTCCTCTGCTATCTACTTTTGTAAATCAATCCCTAACTCTGTGTGAGACTAAGGAAAGTTTCTTCACTGCAAGGAATTGTGATGCCACCCATTGGATGATCATATCCAAATTTTTCCTCTGCTTCACTCAATAAATCTTGAAATGAAGGTTGGTTCAGACAAGACAGTGGGACGAGGAATCGCTTCTTTTGTACCTTGCCAACATAAACGGTAAAGTACCCCTTTGGAACATCTACGCCCTTTGGAGATGCTCCATTTCCTCTTGATGTAGATCGTTGAAAACTTTTCTTAGCATGAACAATACCAGGCAACCGAAAACCCATGGCGTTACTAAGCTGAAAATTTCTTTTGATAATTGGAATGTGGAGAATGAGTTGATTTTGAGCTCAACTGCATGATCTTTATATAGGAAGATGAGATTGAATGGTAGAGAGATATGAGTCATTACCAATCACATGGATTTGTCCTCCAAGACATTATGGGGATATCATATTCATGTGAGCAATGGCCATATTGTATACTTTAGGCACAAACATCATGGCCTACCTTTGTCTCTAGATGACAACCAGCTAAGAAACTTTGTTGGTTGTTGGTGTTGTTAGAGAATTTAGAAAATCTGAAATTTAGAAGATAGAAATAGAAGAAGCATCCCATGGTTGGCGTTTCATAACAAGCCAACCTTCTGAAAGTCCTTGGAATATGAAGTTGGTGCTTCAACCACATGAAGTGTTGTACTCACATTAGACTCTACGGCTCTGCGACATGACTGTGAGACTCCGTGACATAACCACGTTACCTATTTGTTTCGAATTGCTTTTAAGAATAACAACTATCCTCACAAATCAACCTGAGTTATTTTAGCATATTTTGTCCTCATTCACATACTTCTTAGAAAATGTCCCAGGAGGTCACTAGATATAGAATTGCACCAAACTACACTGAAAATGAAGGTATATCTTATTGGTATAAGTAATAACTTTAAATTATTTTCAACATTTCGTAACTATCATATTCTGAGGATCACCCTCAATAAAATGTGGTCTCAGATTATTCTTGTATTCCTCCTTCATTATGTGTCACAAATGGTGAGGCCTCCCATCGAAAGATTTAAGCTTCACAAAAGTAGAATTGTATGGATATAGAATCATATAATATGTGTATGTATAGATGACAAACAAATGGTCAAGAGTCTTCAAAATGTGGTTGCCACTGCAGGATGAACAGTGGAAACATATGCCAAAAATCATCACATGGGTCTGTTGGCATAGTAGCAGTATATATTAGTCATTTATGGATACCACATGCTTCTGTTTTCTGATTTTTTTTTTTTTTTTTTTTTTTTTTTTTTTTTTTTTTTTTTNTTTTTTTTTTTTTTTTTTTTTTTTTTTTTTTTTTTTTTTTTTTTTTTTTTTGTATTCGTATATAGAGCATTCTTGATCTTCCTAATTTAATCATCTTATCGACTATTCAATCACTCCTAGCAAGAATGCTCTCTATATATAGAGAATACAAAAAAAATATTTAGAAAATCTACCTAAAAATCGGTAGAAAATCAGGTAACAAACCAGTAAACAAATCAAATCAAAACTAAATCGAACTCCTAATGATAAGGAGATTTAATCAGGTACTAACTGACAGCAATCTAAACAAATACGTGATATTTAACACTCCTTCTTGTTTAGATGCTGTGAACTCCAAGCTTTTTTCTGAACACCCATCTTATTCCAATTATCTTTCTATGTAGAGGTCAATCAACCAACTCCCAGGTTTTGTTTTTCTTGATCATTGAAAGCTCCTTCTCTGACAGATGCATCATCAACCAAGTGTTTAAGTCTTGCTCTATCCTATCTTATCCTACCTTACCCTATCCTGTTTTTGCCCTATCCTCTTTTTGCCCTATCCGGTTTTTGCCCAAAGAGCCTATTACCCACATACCTTCAGAGGTAGGAAAGGCTAAGGCAATGCCTATTACCCTCTGACCTTATCTTACCCTCATACCTTACCTTATCATGAGTTAGTCATATCCTGTTTTTGCATATTCTGTATAATACTGCAGTGCTAATTACCCACATACCTTATGAGGTAGGAAAGGCTAAGGCAGTGCTAATTACCCACATACCTTCTGAGGTAGGAAAGGCTAAGGCAATGCCTATTACCCACATACCTTCTGAGGATTAACTCCATCTTTCACAATGTGTTGAACAGGAAAATTCAATTGCCTTAGTTCTAAAATAACTAATAAATCTTGTCGTTCATCTTCAGACTCTCTTCTTGTCGTTCATCTTCAGACTCTTCTAATATGCTACCAAAGATTAAATTGTTTGGTGCATTAGAAATTTGATTCACCTTCGTCAATTCTTCCCAACTCCATTGCTCATTTTTAGCAAAATGAACATCTCGACTCACAATAATACGACTAGTGTGTGGTTGAAAAACTCTGTAAGCTTTGGATATAGTGCTATACCCAACAAAGATGCCAACTTCTGACTTTTTGTCAAGCTTATCACGCTTGACTTGTGGAATGTAAGTGAAGAAAAGACACCCAAATACTCTAAGGAACTTTAAAGATGGTTTGTAACCATACCAAACTTCAAATGGTGTCAGGTCCTTCACAACTTTTGTTGAAATTTGATTTTGCAAGCACATAATAGTGTTTGCTACTTTTCCCCAAAAACGTTTTGGAAGATCCTTCTCATGAAGCATGCATCTCGTCATCTCCATTATGAATCTATTCCTCCTTTCACTGACGTCATTCTGTTGAGAAGTGTATGGTATTGTCAATTGATGTTCAATTCCAACCTCTTCACAAAACCTGTTAAAAGTTTCTGAAGTGTACTCCTTGCTATTATCTGATCTTATAGTCTGAATCAAGCATGCACCTTCATTCTCAACTTTGGCTTTGAATTTCCAAAATACACCCGCAACTTCTGACTTTTGCTTCAGCAAGAATATCCAACACATTCTTGTTAGATCATTAATAAAAGCAATGTAATAAAGATTACCATTTAATGATGGTGTTCGCTGAGGACCACAAAGCTCAGTATGAACCAATTGCAGTTTTTTCGAGACTCTCCATGCCTGTTTAGGAAAGGGTTGCCTATGTTACTTCCCAAAATTACAAACACAACAAAGAGGCATGTCATCATCAATGTCAGCGAGTCCTTCTACCAGCTTCTTTGATTGCATCTGAAGCAAACCTCGATGATGAGAGTGTCTAAGTCTTTTGTGCCAAATCTCAGTGGCACTAACTCTGGATATAAAGGTCATTGGATTTAGAGCAAAACTTTTTCCTTTCATTTTGACATTGAACAAGTCTTTGCCACTAGCATCTCTGATCAAGCACCGCTTATTCTCAAACAACACTTTATAGCCTTTATTAAGTAAGGGACCAACACTTAAGAGAGTTTGATCAATTTTAGGTACAAATAAAACATCTGGAAAAAATTTTGTACCTTCATAGCTTGTTATAGCTATTGTTCTTTTCCCTGGACTTCCAAGTGTTCACCATTGTCAATCCTCACTCTCTTGACTTCAGTGTCTCTTAATTCTTCAAAAAACTCCTTGTCATATGTCATATGGTTTGTGCACCCACTGTCAATCAACCAGCTCTTGCTTGATTCTTTGCATGAGAAAGAAGTGACCATAATCAATTGATCTTCTTCTTCTTCTTGATCAACTACATGTGCATCTACTTCTTTCTCCTGATCTTTGGCTTTGCAGATCACAGCATCATGTCCAAGTTGATTGCATTTGGAGCATTTGGCGTTAGGGCTTCTCCAACACTAGTATGGTGGATGACCTTTCTTCTCACAATGGCGACAAGGTGGATAGGATTTTTTGAAACCTCCTCCTTTTGTCTTCTGATAATTGGCAGATGAATCTCGATTGGTTTTTGAAAATTTTCTTATTTTTATACCTGTTGTTGTCTTGATGCTTGACATGTAAGGAACCTTCAATCACCCCTTCTTGCCTCATAGACCTCCTTTTCTCTTGTGCTTGTAAAGCATTCAAGGGCTCTGTAAGAGAAATCTTTGACAAGTGTTTGGTGTTCTCCAGAGTAGTAATGGTGGCTTCAAACTTCTCTGGAACAGTAACTAGCAGCTTTTCAATGATCCTGAAATCATTTAATACAAAACCAAGCAATCTCACCTTGTTGGCAATGCTGAGAAGTCTGTCAGAGTACTCTTTCACCGATTCAGACTCCTTCATTTTCTGCAACTCAAAATCCCTAATCAAATTCAGGACTTTCATTCCACGAATCCTCTCATCTCCTTCATATTCAGCCTTGAGATACTCCCAGATTTCCTTTGCTGTTTTGAGGGACATTATTCGCATGAAGATCATTTGAAATATAGCGGCAAATAGGCAAGCTTTCGCCTTTGATTTCCTTGTCTTCTTTTCCTTCTGTAATTTGATTTGTGCTACAGTAGGATTTGCTGGAAGCGGAGGGACCTCGTAATCCTCTTCTATTGCTTCCCAAAGATCCAAGGCCTCCAAATAAGTGTCCATATGAACTGCCCACATTTGATAATTGTCTCCATCAAAGACGGGTGGTGCAACAGCTGAAAAACTTGATTCTCCTTCCATTTTGATTTCACATGCCCCTCAAGAAGATAGCTCTGATACCAATTGTTAGTGAAAGAGGGAGTGATTGAATAGTTAATAAGATGATTAAATTATGAAGAGCAAGAATGCTCTGAGAATACAAAATATATATATATATATATATATATATATATATATTTAGAAAATCTACCTAAAAATCTGCAGAAAATATGGTAACAAACCAGTAAACAAATCAAATCAAAACAAAATCTAATCAAATCAAAAGTAAATCAAATCAAAACTAAATGGAACTTCTAAGATATAGAGATTTAATCAGGTACTAACTGACAGCAATCTAAACAAATACGTAATCTTTAACAACAGTAAACAATAGTTTCAACGAATCAAGCTTTTCTCATTTCAAAAAAGTTTACATTGTGTACTATTTCTGATCCTTTTTATGTACAATCTATCTAGAGTAGATGTTAATCTCTCTACTTCATGACTCATTCAAACTTCGAGTGAGATTGAGGAAAGCGTCTTCACTGCAAGGAATTGTGATGCCACCCATTGGATGTTCATATCCAAATTCTTCTTCTACTTGACTCAATAAATCTTGAAATGAAGGTTGGTTCAAGTAAGATAGTGGGATCACAAAACGCTGCTTTTCTACCTCACCAACATAAACGGTGAAGTACCCTTTTGGAACATCGACCGCCTTCGGAGATGCTCCATTTCCTGTTGACGAAGAACGTTGAAGGCTTTTCCTAGCATGAACAATTCTTGGTAAACGGAAACCCATGGCGTTATAGTATTTTTCAAAAGGAACTGAGCTGAAAATTTCTTTGGATAATTGGAATGTGGAAAGACTTTGTTGTTTGTGAATCCATATAAGAAGAGCTTTATATAGATGAGAGGCTTAAGTTTCTCAAAGATAGAGATAAGGTAGGGAGATGAACTTCAATTCTAGAGAGACATTAGGCCATGGCCTGTCACATGATGTGTCTTCCAAGCCATTATGAGAACTTCAAATATTTGGTCATTCTGTATGGCTTGTGCAGTAACATCATGGCCTACTTGTGTCTACAAATAACAACTGGAGAAGTAAGTTGAACAGATCTCTATAGTTTTAATAGCATAATGGACATATCAGAGTTTCTCAAGCCCTTGTTGTCCTTCTGGTGAAACAAAATTTTAGTTGCATTTAATAGCTATGTGGAAGGACTCCAGCTAAGGAACTTTGTTGGTTGTTAGTGTTAGCAGAGCACTCTGAAAAATCTTAGAAAATGGGACAAACTTGTCAAGTTTGATTGATATGGTGCGTTAGTCTGCCGCTTTGACAGACCAACTAGGTTGCTACCATGGTACAACAGGAACTTAGAGGTACAAATAGTTATAAACAGGATGGAGATATAAGATAGAGCCTGTTGTGCATAACATGACGAATTTTTCACTTTCATTTATGAGTATTGCACTTCTTTCATGCACCAATCAGGAGATTGGACATTTACTTGCAGGCTTTTGTGGGAATTATACAGTACTTGAGCTCTTTCAAGCCTGAGAATAATGGTCAATCTTGGAGCTTCTGAAAAATCTGTAAAACATGAATGGCCAACTTTCTTGAATGATATATGCAGACTCTTGAGCCAATTGCCTTCTAGCTGTTTACCAAGAACACATCAAAACTGATTTAGGAATTTCCTTCAGTGTGTTTCTTCCAAAGAAGATTCTGCAGCAATTGAAGCTCCTCGACCAAGAATCTACATAACATAAAGTAGTCTGATAGTGTTAAAGATCACGTATTTGTTTATATTGCTGTATCTAATTAAATCTCCTTAGGAGTTAGATTTAGTTTTGATTTGATTTAGTTTTTTATTTGTTTACTGGTTTGTTACCAGTTTTTCTCCCGATTTTTAGATAGATTTTCTAAATATCTTTTTGTATTCTATATAATAGAGAGAGCATTCTTGCTCTTCATAATATAATCTTCTCATCAACTATTTAATCACTCCCTCTTTCACACATAGATAAGCTATATTTGCCTCTCTTGATCTTGATTACTGTGTCAAAACTTCAAAAAGAAAAGAGGTCCCTACAAAGAATATGAAGATATGTTATGGGTATAAAAGCACATAATGTGTATAAATAGATGACCAATAAATGGTCAAGAAGTCCTCAAAAATGTGGGTAAGCTAATGTAGACGCCACTGCAGGATGAACAGTGGAAACGGATCATCACATGGGTATGTTCTCAAAGTGGTTGATAATGAATTGGTAGTGATTGTGACTTTATATCTGTTGGTATACAAATTTTCGATAACTATTCAAGAATGAACATCCTGAAAATGACCCCACTTTCAAATAAAACTAAAGAAAATTAGTATCATTTATGGATAGCACATGGTTTGTCGTTCTAAATTATCATCAATAACATGGTTCTCATCGAAAGGTGTTCAATCTCAGCAACCATTACTTGGTGAACAACCTTGCATGGATCCCACTTAAATTTGCGGTAGATTTATGAGTATTAGTGTGATACCCAAGTAAAGAAAGGGTACATGAATGAATTGAGACCACATTCAAATACAAGTGATCCTAAGGATAGGATGCTTGAGAAAGAATTAAAAGAATGGAAGGAACTACCTATACAAATAAGGTGCACCTTCCTTTTTGGTGTCTCAATCACAAGAACTCCAAAATTAATAATACTTTACTTGGAGTAATCCTATGTTGAGTGACTTCATGGGAATTTTCTTAGGAAGCATATGAGTAAGGAATAAGCATGATGAAATGACCCAAGTTGATCTATGGGTATAGGCGTCACTCTTAGAAACAAGAAACCATGTCGTAGGAAAATTCTGAGGTCATTAGAATCCAAATTCCAAATCATAATACCAAGTATGGAGCGGATAACTATCTAGCTTCATGTTAAGACATTCTCAATACTTTGTTAATCACAATATTTAATCTCTTACTTAGAAATTTTGTAGCCTTTGTCATAGGGACCTTCAACCAACAAATTCTTAACTAGAAAGAAGTATGAACACTAAACAACCGATTGAATTCAAAGAATCAAGTTCTCATTCAAAAATGTTAAGAGTATACATTGTATGCTATTCTAATCATTGTCCTCTACTATCTACTTTTGTAAATCAATCCCTTAACTCTGCGTGAGACTGAGAAAAGTTTCTTCACTGCAAGGAATAGTGATGCCACCCATTGGATGATCATATCCGAATTCTTCTTCTGCTTGACTCAACAAATCTTGAAATGAAGGTTGGTTCAAGTAAGATAGTGGGATCACAAAACGCTGCTTTTCTACCTCACCAACATAAACGGTGAAGTACCCTTTTGGAACATCGACAGCCTTCGGAGATGCTCCATTTCCTGTTGACGAAGAACGTTGAAGGCTTTGTCTGGCATGAACAATTCTTGGTAAACGGAAACCCATGTTGTAATATGTTCCAAAAAGAAATATGAGGAAATTTCTTTTGAGAATTGGAATGTGGAAAGACTTTGTTGTTTGTGAATCCATATAACAAGATCTTTATATAGATGAGAGGCTTAAGTTTTTCAAAGATAGAGATAAGGTAGGGAGATGAAATTCAATTCTAGAGAGACATTAGCTCATGACCTGCCACATGGTGTGTCTTCCAAGCCATTATGAGAATTTCAAATATTTGGTCATTCTGTATACCTTGTGGAGTAACATCATGACCTACTTGTGTCTACAAATAACAACTGGAGAAGTAAGTTGAACAGATCTCTATAGTTCTAATAGCATAATGGACACATCAGAGTTTCTCAAACCCTTGCTGTCCTTGTGGTGAAACAAAGTTTTAGTTGCATTTAATAGCTATGTGGAAGGACTCCAGCTAAGGAACTTTGTTGGTTGTTAGTGTTAGCAGAGCACTCTGAAAAATCTTGGAGAATGGGACAAACTTACCAAGTTTGATTGATATGGTGCGTCAGCTGCCGCGACCTTTGACAGACCAACCAGGTCGCTAGCATGGTACAACAGGAACTTAGAGGTACAAATAGATATAAACAGGATGGAGATATAAGATAGAGCCTGTCGTGCATAACATGACGAATATTGCCTTCCATGCACCAATCAGGAGATTGGACATTTACTTGCAGGCTTTTGTGGGAATTATACAGTACTTGAGGTCTTTCAAGCCTGAGAATAATGTTCAATCTTGGAGTTTCTGAAAAATCTGTAAAACATGAATGGCCAACTTTCTTGAATGATAACTGCAGACTCTTGAACCAATTGCCTTCTCGCTGTTTTACCAAGAACAGATATCAAAACTGATTTCGGAATAGCCTACATCGTGTTTCTTTCAAAGAAGATTCTGCAGCAATTGAAGCTACTCGGCCAAGAATCTACATAACATGAAGTAGTCTGATAGCCATATTTGCCTCTCTTGATCTTGAATACTATGTCAGAAAACTTCAAAAAAAGATGTCCCTACAAAGAATATGAAGATATGATATGGGTATAAAATCACATGATGTGTATAAATAGATTACCAATAAATGGTCAAGAAGTCCACAAGAATGTGGCTAAGCTAATGTTGGTGCCACTGCAGAGGAACAGTGGAAACGAATCATCACATGGGTATGTTCTCAAAGTGATTGATAATGAATTGGTTGTGATTGTGACCTTATATCTGTTGGTATACAAATTTTCGACAACCATTCAAGAACGAACGTCCTAAAAATGACCCCGCTTTCGAATAAAACTGAAGAAAAATAGTAGCAAACTATAAGATTCATTTATGGATAGCACATGGTTTTGTTTTCTGATTTATCATCAATAACATGGTTCTCATTGAAAGGTGTTCAATCTCACCTACCATTGCATAGATCCCACTTAAATTTGCATGAATATTAGTGTGATACTCGAGTAAAGAAAGGGTACATGAATGAACCGAGACCACATCTAAATGAGAGTGATATTGAGGATAGGATGCTTAAGAAAGGTTTCAAAGATTTGAAGTTATTGCCTATACCAACAAGGAACACCTTCCTTTTAGTAAATCAATGATAAAAACTCCAAAGTTAAGATTATTTTGCTTGAAGCAATCTTGTGTTGGAGAGCTTATTCGAAATTTTCCTAGGAAGCATGTAAGTGAGGACAAAACATGCTGAAAGGACCCGTGTTGATCTGTGGGATAATCATCACTCTTTGACGCATGAAGTAAGTAACGTGATGATGTTATAAAGGATAATCATTGCTCAAGTTCAAGTTATTAAATCATCTAGTATCAATAATGTAAGGAAATATGAACACTAAAGAAAAGTTTCAACAAATCAAGTTTTCTCATTTCAAAAATGTTTACAATGTGTACTATTCTAATCCTTTTTCTGTACAATAGATGTTAATCTCTATACTTCATGAGTCATTCAAACCCCGAGTGAGATTAAGGAAAACATCTTCACTGCAAGGAATTGTGATGCCACCCATTGGATGATCATATCCGAATTCTTCTTCTGCTTGACTCAACAAATCTTGAAATGAAGGTTGGTTCAAGAAAGACAGTGGGATGACAAAACGCTGCTTTTCTACCTCACCAACATAAACGGTGAAGTACCCTTTTGGAACATCGACAGCCTTCGGAGATGCTCGATTTCTTGTTGATGAAGAACATTGAAGGCTTTGTCTGACATGAACAATTCTTGGTAAACGGAAACCCATGTTGTAATATGTTCTAAAAAGAAATGAGTTTCTGAAGAGAATACCAAAGTTTGAAAGCTCTTGTGAGAATTGGAATATGGAAAGACTCTTGTTGGTAATGAATCCATATAAGAAGAGCTTTATATAGAGGAGAGGCTTAAGTTTCTCAAAGATAGAGACAAGGTAGGGAGATGAAATTCAATTCTAGAGAGACATTAGCTCATGGCCTGTCACATGATGTGTCTTCCGAGACATTATGAGAATTTGAAATATCAGGTCATTATGTATTCCTTGTGAAGAAACATTATGGCCTACTTTTGTCTCCAAATGACAACTGGAGAAGTAAGTTAGAACAAATCTCAAGCCCTTGTTGTCCTCCTGGTGTAGCAAACTTTAATTGCATTTAATAGCAATGTGGAAGGTTCAATTTAAAGGAAGATCATGCTGTTTTACTCCCTTTTCTTTTCATGGATTCTCATTCATTTTTTCACCTCTTTAGTTCTTTGCAGTGTTCAATTTAAGACACTGCTAAGTGTGTGTTGTCATTATGAATTAGTCAGAATAGAAAGCTGTATAAGCTTAAGCTGAGATCCCACGTTGGTAGGGAGGAGAATGAAGCATTCCTTATTAGGGTGTGAAAATCTCTCCTTAGACGCGTTTTAAAACTTTTAGGGGAAGTCCAGAAGAAAAACCAAAAGAGGACAATATCTTTTAGCAGTGGGCTTGGGCTGTTACAAATGGTATCAAAGTCAATCATGGACGCTGGCCCCAAGGGGGTGGAATGTAAGATCCCCACGTCGGTTGGAGAGGGGAACAAAAAATTCCTTATAAGAGTATGGAAACCTCTCCTTAGTAGACGCGTTTTAAAACCTTAAGGGGAAGTCCGGAAGGGAAAGCCCAAAGATGACAATATCTTCTAGTGGTGGGATTGGGTTGTCACAAATGGTATTAGATCCAGACACCGGGCGGTGTGCCAGCGAGGACGTTGGGTGTCACGATCATGCTTGTCTAAGGCGTGTTGTCTATGACCGCATGTCAGATATCTCGGTCTTGCTTGTCCGAGTCGGTTGACAGAGACGTCAACCAATTGAGTGGGGGAGGATGTCATGGTCATGCTTGTCCAAGGCGTGTTACCTATGGCCACATGGCGGATGTCCCGATCTTGCTTGTCCAGGACGTGTTGTCCATGGTTGCACGCCCGTTCCAAACCTCTTTTACATGCTTTCATCCTAGATAGGCTTTCACCCTTTCATGTTGGGTCAATACGGGGGTGTATGACCATTCACCAAAACCATGTCTACACCCGCCAGGACTAAAATGCCCCAAAATGTACTATAGGAGGATATAACTAGTTGTCACTTCTTCCTACCTTGAGTTATATGCTATTTAAGCCGTGATATTTCTTTATTTGTTTATAATCATATACCGTTGCTTTCTTCAATTCTTCAAATCGTTTTCAAATGTCTGTCCTCACTCACATTTTCTATATCTTTTCTTGCAACTTGACTCAAGGCCCAAACATACGCCGAGGTTGTCCGTCACATATGAATTTCTCACAACTGACTTGTTCGCTTGGTTAGAAAGTGCCGCACAATCATTGTCCCGCTACTGCAAGAGTGCGATTGTGACACTCGGCCTCCAAGGGGGTGGATTGTGAGATCCCACATCGGTTGGAGAGGGGAATGAAACATTCCTTATAAAGGTGTGGAAACCTCTCTCTAACATACGCATTTTAAAACCTTGAGGTGCCCAAAAAGGAAAGCCCAAAGAGAACAATATTTGCTAGTGGTGGGTTTGAGCTGTTAGATGAACAATTCATTAGTCTATGTATTTCTTTATTTCTGAGCATAACTAGATGTCACTGTTCTAAAATTCTGTTGAATGAAGAAAAAACATAGAAATAAAAATGAAGAGAAAGAGGGCCTTTCCATTTGCATCAAAAAGCTGCCAATTTGAACATTTCCATATTGAAAAGAAGTAACCGGTTCAATGCAATGCTTTGTTCATGAAAAGAACTATGAACTATGAACAGTGTACAACAACAATTCTGTACTTTTCTAATTCTATGTCTATACCATCTATTCTAAACACTAATCCCTCTGGTTCATGAACCATTCAAGCTACAAGTGAGATCAAGGAAATGGTCTTCACTGCAAGGAATAGTGATGCCACCCATTGGATGATCATATCCAAATTCTTCTTCTACTTGACTCAACAAATCTTGAAATGAAGGTTGGTTCAAGTAAGATAATGGAATGACAAAACACTTCTTTTGTTCTTCACCAACATAAACTGTAAAGTACCCCTTTGGAACGTTGATCGCTGATGCTCCGTTTCCAGACGATGAAGATCGTCGAAGACTTTGCTTAGCCTTAACAATTCTAGGCAAACGGAAACCCATGTCACAGAATCTTTCAAAGAGAAGTAATGAGTTTCTTTGAGGATATGGAAGACTCTTGTTGATTATGAACCCATTTACTTAGACCTTTATATAGATGAAGAACCAAAGATACTCAAAGATTCAATGCCAGTGTGACATTGGATCATGACCTATCACATGAGTGGGCCTTCCAAGCTTTTATGAGAGTTTCAAATTCATGTGATATATGGTCATCATCATGTCCTACTTTTGTCTCCAAATAACAACTGGAGAAGTGAGTTGAGTTAGCCTCTAAAATCTTAATGGGACTATGGACATATTAGAGACATTCAAGCCCTGTTGTCCTTCTGCTACAACAAAACTTTAATTGCATTTAATAGCTGTCTGTTACTTCTTGCTTCAAAAGAAAATATTTCAGCTAAGGAACCTTTTTGGTAGTTAGTTTTAGTGAGAGCTCTGAAAATTCTTTAGCATGGATACCGTGGTACCACTGAAACATAGAGAGGTACACAGAACGCTATAGTACAGGATGGGAAGACCCCATTTTAGCACTCTATAAGACGATAAAACAGCATTCATAGCAAGACAATTGTAAAGATGCTATATGTGAGATCCCACCTCGGTTGGGGAGGAGAATGTGGAAACCTCTCTCTAGCAAATGCGTTTTAAAAACTTTGAGGGAGAAGCTCGAAAGGGAAAACTTAAAGAGAACAATATCTACTAGCGTGACCTTGGGCTGCGACACTGTAACTTTTTACATACTTAACGTTCCGTGCCTATTTTTTCATGGAACTTGCACAGCCCAGGTGACTGCAGAGCAAGGAGGAGAAACATTGGCTTTGCTTGTATTGTGGTGATTCGAAAAGAAAAGACCTTCATTGTGAGGGATCAACATAGTTTTGCCAAGTACCTGACGAAAGACAAACGTGAATCTGAAAAGTAAAGCGTGCTCGATAATCATTTGGTAAAAGTAGTGTTTATAAGCTCCGTTTTCATTAGCCGACTCTATTTCCTATATGAGGTTAAGGGAACAATTGAGTTGTATTCTGAAATCCGTGTTAGGATCACGACTCTCCACAATGGTATGATATAACTCATGCTTTGCTTTGGGCTTCCCCAAAAATGTCTCATACCAATGGAGATGAATTCCTTACTTATAAACTCACAAGCATTCCCTAAATTAGCCAATGTGGGACTCCCTCCCAACAATCCTCCCCTCGAACAAAATACACCCTTTGTTCGACACTTGAGTCACTTTTGACTACACCTTCGAGGCTAGCAATTTCTTTGATCGACACTTGAGGATTCTATTGACGTGGCTAAGTTAAGGGCATGACTCTGATACCAGGTTAGGAATCACGACTCCACAATGATAAGATATTGTCCACTTCGAGCATAGGCTCTCATGACTTTGCTTTGGGCTTCCCCGAAAGGTCTTATACCAATGGAGATGTATTTCTTACTTATAAACCCATAATCATTCCCTAAATTAGCTAATGTAGGTTCCCTCCTAACAATGCTCAATAATCCGAATTCAGGACCTGATTAGCCCCGACATTCCCATGCATCCCCTGCATCTCTTTTTTGTTGTGTATGATCAAATAAAGAAAACGTCTAAACTAGGGAAATAGTAATCATCAAGAACAGGTTCTGCTTGTTCATCTACCATTTCATGGTGAACAATTTAGATTTGTTTCTATTAGTCATTTGGTAATTCAGTGGTTGATAAGATAGAACCAATACTCTGTTAATCACATTACTTAGTCACTTAAGAAATTGATAGTGTCTAAACTAATTAATATCCATTTCTTGAAGTTTCAGTCTGAGAGATTCCTAAATGAGTAGCCACTCCATATCAGGGCAGAAGGTATGAGTATTGCATCAGATATTTTGGCTTCAAAATTCAAACTCTTGATTGAATTCCATTTCATCAACAGTTCTTTCACTGAAAAGTACTTTGAAAAAATTCAATCAAGTCATCAAAGATTGACTTGAATGTGAAACTTGCATTCCTTTCTTGAATATCAAGTTATGAAAGACATGTCTCTATCAAGTTAGCCTGGTTTATTGCCTATTTATAAGCAGCCCTTCGAATAAAATAACACTGGAGAGCTTCTTTTGTTGAGTGTTTCTTCTTATGTCATATGGATTCCTCTAATAGTTCATCCTCTTCTTCGACCGAGATGAACTTGCTTTCACCGATTGTTCTGTTGTCGAACATCTGCAACCTGATATCGATTAAACTCGACTCGACAAATTATGTCCTTTGGAAGTTTCAGTTGACAACACTTTTGAAAGCTCATAAGCTTTTTGGCTTTATTGATGGTACTCATCCATGTCCAATATCGAATCCTTCGTACGACGATTGGTTTGCTAAGGATCAAGCTCTTATGACAGTCATAAATGCTACACTTTCACCTGAGGCTTTGGCATATGTGGTTGGTAGCACTACTTCTAAACAGGTTTGGCATGTTCTTGCAAAGCTTTATTCTTCTAGTTCAAGGTCTAATGTAGTGAATTTGAAGTCTGATCTACAAACTATTTCCAAGAAGTCTGATGAATCTATTGATGCCTATATTAAACGGATTAAGGAGATCAAGGACAAGCTTGCTAATGTTTCTACTGTTGTCAATGATGAGGATCTTCTTATCTATGCTCTAAATGGCCTTCCAACCGAGTATAATACTTTTAGAACGTCGATGCGTACACGTTCTACGCCTGTTACTTTTGAAGAACTTCATGTTCTTCTAAAAGCTGAGGAATCAGCTCTTGCAAAACAGTCTAAGCGTGATGATTTGTGTAAACAACCAACTGCTTTACTTGCTTCTTCTCAATCTCTTATGTCTTATGCTTCTACTTTTAATAATAACTTTGCTCGAGGTCGTGGACATGGACATGGACGATCTTCTTTTGATACTCAAGGTCGCGGTGGTGGTTCTTCCCAACAGCAGCAGTTGGTTGTTGCTAATAATCATTCATCTTGTCAGATTTGTTTACGTCGTGGCCATATTGCGCTCGATTGTTTCAATCGTATGAACTATAATTTTCATGGACGCCACCCTCCACATCACCTTGCTGCAATGGTTGCATCCCAGAATAATGCTTTTCTGTCTATTGTTAATTCTGATATGAATTATCTTTCTCTTGCATCTGGATATCATGGTGAAGAACAAGTTGGCGTTGGTAGTGGACAGTCTCTGCCTATTTCTCACTCAGGTTGTGGTACTTTTAAAACTCCTCCTCCCTCCTACTCGAGTCGTGATTCCTAACATGGTATTAGAGTTATGCCCTTAACTTAGCCATGTCAATAGAATCCTCAAAATGTCGAACGAAGAAATTGTGAGCCTCAAAGGTGTAGTGAAAAGTAACTCAAGTGTCAAACAAACAGTGTGTTGGATCGGTATGGCAACCCTAGAGGGGGGGTGAATAGGGTTTTAACGATAAAAGTGTTTAAACTTGATTAATTTTTCTAATGATAAAACTTTTTACAAATAAGTAGAAGATGATAATTACTAAAGCAAAATAATTCAAGTCAAAACAATAATCAAGTAGAACATGCAATAAACATAATAATAATCTTGAAATTAAATAGGAAAGAGTTAGAGAAAATGACACCGTAGTTTTATAGTGGTTCGGTCAAACTCGACCTACTCCACTCCCCAAGCGCCTCTTGGGAATTTGAATAAAGAACTTTTCCGACTCTTTCCACGGATCAGAGCCAAACCGGTACACCGCTCTTTTTACGAGTTCAAGAGCAAACTCAATCCTTTCAACGACGCAGGATCAAACCGATACAAGTATTTGAGTTTGATAATAACACACCACAACTCTCTCAAAGAGTAGATTTACAATTTGGGATACTGACAACTATTTCCTCACAATATAATAATAATCCCTCTCAAGAATAAGATGAAAAGAAATAAACTTGTAAGCTTGGAGAGAGCAATAAACAATGGAGACTTTGAACAAATGAGGATTGAAGAATGTATGTAAGTTGTATATGTTAAAAATGTGGGGAAGATGAGTTTATATAGAGGAGAAAAGTGGCAAAATGTAGGATTGAATATTGACCATTGGATTGTGTTAGGAATAATGGAAGGTGGAGATTAAAAGTAATTAAGTAAGAAAATTTTCTAAATTCATTTATTTCAAAATTTTAATATAATAGTAATATAATATAATAATAATAAAAAGTTATGTGAGTAACGGTAAAATGTAATTCAAAATTTATTATAAATATAATAATATAATAATAATAAAAATGATGTGAGTAACTACCAAAATTTTAAAATATAATAATATAATAATATAATATAGTAATAATAAAATTCGATGTGAGTAACGGTTATATTCAAATTTATATTTGTAAAAATAATTTTATTTAGAAATGTAATAATAAGAAAAACTCCACCATGTGTTACTCTTCCAATATTATAAATGTCATACTTTGATATATTTTGATTTGTCCATCATTTTGATTTTGTTGCCACATCATCACGTCGGGTATGTTGTCTCGACTCTAATTTCTTCGTTTTAGCTCTGATTTGAGTAATTGAAAAGTTGTTGTAATCGTTATTCCCGACCTTATACTGTGGACAGTTCAAAAAACTGAAAATAGTTAATAATTAAAAGTAGGTTTGTTATCATCAAAACATCAATAATTAATTCATTGAAATTAATTAATGTGAGATCAAGGGCCAATAAGCCAACAATATCCCCCTTTTTGATGATGACAAATCATTTAAAGAAAAATTCATAAAAACCAATAATACAACATCCATGTAATAATATCACTACATACTAATATATTATCATAAATTTCACTCAAGAGCATATTCTCCCTTATATTAATGCCTCAAGAAATTATGAAACACCAAGTAAATGATTCATAAATTATAAAATAACAAATTTAGAACATATTTTTCTTAATTTTCTCCCCCTTTGTAATCATCAAAATGAACAATTGAAAGAGAATGCATTTAATAATGACATAATGGCTCCCCCTAAAAACATGCATTCAAAAATTATAAAATTCAAGATATATCACAACGAATAATACCAAGCTCAAGCCT